CCAGGGTTGTGAGTTCAATCCTTGAGGGGGCCACTTGGGGATCTGGGGCAAAATCAGTACTTGGTCCTGCTAGTGAAGGCAGGGGACTGGACTCGATGACCTTTCAAGGTCCATTCCAGTTCTAGGAGATGGGATATCTCCATTAATTATAAATTATAAAGTACTGATTTTTTTTTTTCAATCTGTAAAAGCTAACATTTTCTTATAGTATCAGTTACATTTTCTGTAATTTTCCAGTTACTGAACTTCAAGGTAGATTAAAAAGAAGCTCTGTTCTGCCACAAGGATACTACAGGTTCCTGTGTTACTCTTTTTGGCATCATCATAACCTTTTTCTGTTTACTGCAAAATGAAGAGCTGCCTATGAAATGTGAGTGCACCTGACCATCCCTGTCCAGGGACAAAGGTGACATTTTATCAGTGCTGCAAAGACTTCTGACAACAACTTTTCTGGTGTTGGTTACTATTGTCCCTACCATTGAAGTCCATTGTACTCCACTTTATCACACACATAATCCAGTTTCTCTAGTTCTTGTAACATGGCCAGCCCATTGACACACTGCAGCTTTTTCACAGTATTTGAGACAGCCTTTATCTTGGGTTTTGCATTGTCTGGTTCACCAGGTAGCTCTGAGCATGCCTTTTTCAAGGATTTGTAGTTGAGCTTTTACTTTCTACCCCATCTTCTATAGAAAGAAAGAAAGCAAGAAAGAAAGAAAGGGTGGTGATTTCCTTGTTGCTATTCCTCCACACAACAGTGAGGTTCCCCTGCAGCATGGGACCTGATCAACTGAAATCTTATGACCACCGGAGGAAGTCCCCATCTAATAAACAGCTCTGTGCTGGAGTCTGTCACCTTTTTATGAATGGCTGCTAAAGGGATGGCCTGTGACCATTTGAAATGATAGTCACAAAAGCAAGAGGCAGCTTGCTGTCCACATAGATACATGTAGGGAGTTCAATTACAGGAAGAAATGTGCTGGCTCACGCACTTCCTATTGTCTCATTCCTCTTCCTTTTTCTCCTATGATGCCTTCTTTCCCTTGGGGCAGGGGTCCCCAACGTGGTGCCCATGGGTGTCATGGCGCCCGCTTGGGCATCTAAGTGCGCCCGCGTACTGGCTGGCGGACGAGCATCAGCCGAAATGCCGCCGACAAGCAGCAGCATCCAGAGGCGTCGCTGCCGAAATGCCGCCGATTTTTGGTGGCATTTCAGCGGCAACGCCTCTGGATGACGCTGCTTGTCGGCGGCATTTCGGCGGCGACGCATATTGACGTTGCTGCTTGTCGGCGGCATTTCGGCGGATGCTTGTCCACCGCCACGGTCCTCTGTGGCTCGTCCTCTGGCACCCGCCAGATAAAAAAGGTTGGGGACCACTGCCTTGGGGTCTTAACTCCCAAACCAATGATTTATCTTATCATTGGGTTTTTTACTCTTCCCTCTTACATATATCTTTCCCATGTCTTTCTTTCTCTCCCCTACTCTCTCTACTGTTGCCTCATAGTTAGGGCCCTACCAAATTCACAGTTCACTTTGATCAATTTCACAGACATTGGATTTTTGAAATCATAAATTTCATGATTTCAGTCTATTTAAATCTGGAATTTCATGGTGTAACTGTAGGGGTCCTGACCCCGAACGGAGTTGCAGGGGGGTTGCAAGGTTATTGAAGGGGGAGGAGGTTGCGGTACTGCTACCCTTATTTCTGCGCTGCTGCTGCTGACAGCGGTGCTGGGCAGCTGAAGAGCGGTGGCTGCAGGCCGGCTGCCCAGCTCTGAAGGCAGAGCTGCCACCAGCAGCAGCACAGAAGTAAGGATGGAATAGTATGATGTTGCCACCCTTACTGGTAGGGCACCTCCTTCAGAGCTGGGCGCCCAGCCAAGAGTTGCCGCTCTCGGTCCGCCCAGCTCTGAAGGCAGTGCAGAAGTAAGGGTGGCAATACCGCAACCCCCTAAAATAACTTTGGAACCCCCTGCAAATCCCTTTTGGGTCAGGACCCCAGTTTGAGAAATGCTGGTTTCCCCCATGAAATCTGTATAGTATAGGGTAAAAGCACACAAAAGAGCAAATGTCATGGTCCATGGTGTGTTTTTCATGGCTGTGAATTTGGTAGGGCCCTATTCATAGAAAGTTCATGGCTGGGTGACTAGATTGTGACCATTAAGAGTAGCTTCTCTTTGTCTTCTCCCACCTTCTGTTTTTCTTTTCCCCTCAACTGCTGCCTTATACCCATCTCCTGTTGCATGGTGGGACTATAACATGGAAACCATTGTCCTTCCTTGCTATGTGTAGGTGATGGGCACCTTGTAAGGTGAAGACAGTGCATCTACATTTTTTAAAAGATGAAACCATTACTGCTGCTAACTACTAAAATGGATTCTATCTGTACAGTAACTAAAATGACTGGTTAAATTTCACTAAGTGCCAGAATGAAAATCACAGCACTTAGCATCATGTCACTGGTGTTAGCTCTCTCTAGCCACAGGAGGCTATAGCAACATCGGCTGTAGCAGAAAATAATGTATTGGTAAGGAAAGGAGAGCAGTGTGTTCTAGAAAAGAAAGTATAGTACCAGGTTCTTTCTGGAGCTTTGAATGAAACAATAAACTAACTGGAGTAGAAGAAGTAGATTTTTGTTCCAAGTGGTCAGAGAACCACTTTTGGCTGATTTATCGGGGAAAACAGCTAAAATGTCCCGACCCAACTCTTACGCCCTGTCTCTCCAGCTCCCAACGTAGAGGACTTGCAGAATGTGAGCTCTGCAGCTTTTTGGGGCAGGATAGAAAAGCCACTGTGTGTATTGGCGGCAGTCTTATTAGGGCATGAAGAGCTTGTGTTTTAATCATTTAAATTATTTCTATTTAAACATTACAAAACAGCACTGAGAACCTTGTGTAAACTGCAGCCTGCCAGTCTGCTCTACACCCAGCTGCCTGGAGCACTATCTTCCAAAGTGGAGGGTGATCTTTGGTCTCTGCAGTCACACCTGCCCCCATCCTTACATAAATAACAGCCACCCCACACCCTCTGTGTGATTCCCATCCTTTCATGGCCGTGTGTGTGTGTGCCTTTGTACATTCTGAGGTTTGAATTAGGCCCCATGAGTTTATTGAATTTTGAAAGCTAAAGCAACTCTTGTTTCTGTTTAATTCTCATTTTTTTGCCAGGGACAACATCTTTCAAGCCAGTGCTTTATTTGTGTGGCATGATAAAACATAGTCAACATTCAAGAAGCACTCCCAGTGCTACCCTGGCAGATTGGCTTCATTTATTGTTTGTTGTCTTTAGTTAAATGAAAGTAGTATGACTGAAATGTTACTAGATGGCATATAAATAGAGGGTCTTATCCAACTTCCCCTGAAGTTAGTGGGAATTGGATAAGCCCAGAAGGAAAGGGAATAAGGCCTTATTATTGAAAAGACACCCAATACACTAGATAACAAAAGTAACAATACTATCTTAATGTAATAGTATGCATCTAATACTAGTATGGCATCAGGTGTATTGGGCATTTTTATCCGTTCTGTTTTATATTCTGTTTGTATTTGTTTTATATTTTGAGTGTTAATTTTACTGATTCTGAAAAGGAGACTTAATAATACTGACTAGTGCAATGACTAATACTCTTGTAGTATGTGATGTGCATTTTCTTAGGCATACACATAGGAGCAAAACCTGTCCCCAGCACACAACCCAAGTAGTCAAACTGTAACCTGGGAAGTTCTTCAGGGGAGGAATTAATGAATCCTTCTTTCCTGGGTCCTGGAGTGGCAGCACTGTAGCTGGTTGCCTGGGATGCTTGTGGATGAAGCAAGGATGACCATCTTTGAAAATCTGGGACTAAAAATCTAGGCTGGGATTTTGGCACCACAGTGCCATTGACTTTCAGCAAGGGGTGGGCATGTCACTCTTAGACTCCTTTTAAAAATCCTAGCCTTAAGGGACAATTTTTAAAAATGAAGGCCCAAGCTCTTCCTGCAAGAAAGTGCAAAAATCCACCTGCAGTTTCACGCTTCCTCCCTACGATTATTCATTATAATCAGCTAATTACACCCAGTGGATAAAGAATTAGCCTTACGTATGCACAACTGCATTAATTGCACACACTAGCACATTTTCATGTCTTTTTTGTTGTTGGTTTTTTTGTTGTTGTTTTGCATGGGGACATGCTTTTGAAAATTAATCCCATATTTGCACATCAGAATACAATATGGTCAGTCCTCGATTACTGAACTTCAGTTACTCTGAATTGTGTGCGGGTACAATCTTGTTGTGGGTGTTCCCTCACACACAACAGTTAATTTAGGCCAAATGAAGAAAACAATGGTACTTCAGCATAATAAATAATAGGCTACATTGTCAAAGTAATGACTCTGTTTGTAATTCAGGATGAGTGAAACAGGAAAAACATGACTATAAATTGATCACAGTATAACCTGATCACATTGGTGGGAGGCTAAAATGTCAATTTTTCCTTTTCTTTTGTACTAAATTGAAGTAGGGGATATAATGAGTATTATTTGGACGGTTTAGCCTTTTGTGTTATGTGGGGGTGCTATTACGCTCGTCATTGGGTTTAATTTAAAAATTAAGGGCACAGCAGGAAATTCTTCTCCCAGTTATATCTGGTGAAAACTGGAATACCTCTTCTGACGACAGTGAAGTTACTCCAGATTTATCCTGATGTAACTTTGAGCAGGATTTGGCCTACAGCGTTCAGAAAGAGCATCATTTCTTCCTGATAGCATTTTATTTAATGCAACCCAACCAATAGAAATGTGTGGATAAGGCACATTAGTCGTACGTGAGCACTTTTCGCTAACGAGGAATCGGCCATATTTGCACTTGTCGGCTTAAAAAGTATAGCTCTGAAGAAGTGGGGAGGGCGGGAAACAAGTTGTAAAATAGTACAAAAACGTAAGAGTTGAAGTTTGTAGGGCTTTTTTTTCCCCCTATGTAATTTGCTTTTGTATTCATTATATCCCCCCCTGTATTTCCAGTAAAGGGTTACCTTCGAGTTCAACGTTCACCCTAGAAGACAGTGCCATCTACTTGACTTCAGAACAGAGCACACTGGAAATGGAAAATGATAATGCTTCAGTTTTGGATGTCTATTTAGTAAGTTGTCAGACTGTGTTGCTTTCATTTCTTAATTTATGATTTCTTCTAGTTTTATTTATTTAAGATCACAATAGTCCCACTGAAATATTCCAAGTATTTAAACTTAAGCACACACTTAAGTACCCTGCTGAATCAGGATCTTAAAGAATTCAAATGTTCACTAAGTGATTATTCATTGTTGTATTATTCAAGAGGTATGCCAAAACATTTCTCAACATACCCTAGCAATAATAATTTTTTTACAATCTTGTGGAAAAGCAGACTTTTTTTTTTACTTCACACCTTGAACTTTTCATAGTGTTGCAGCTTAATTTTCCAAGACTGAAAACTATCATTTCTGCATACAAATATTTGTGAAGTCAAAAACAACTGGTTTTGCACAGCTGGACTTAAAATAAACAGTGGTTCCTTTTTCACTCTTAATAACGCAGCTGTGGCTGCAGAAGTATGTTGAAGTTACAGCTTTCCTCTTTTGCTGTGGTTCCCAGTGAGTAGTCTGTGTTTTGCTGTATAGCAAATTTCATTATTTGAAGTGAGAAACTCCTTTATAAGGCCACAGTTTGGATTATCTACATGTGTGTCTGTGCAGTTCTGCTTTTAAATAACTCTGATCACTACGTTTAGGATTTTCAAGCCTCAAAGGCACCCAAATCCAATTGGATTGTAATGGGGATTTGGACAGATATCTCTTTCAGGTCTACTTGGAAATCCCAGCATGAAGACAGCATTTTGTAATAAAATCAATACTTGCTGTCTCTCCCCCTGCCACCCAAATACGTTCAATTTCATATGACGATATTGTGTTGGGTCTATTTTTCTAGGGGTTTTGTGTTTTTAAAATGGAAAATAGAAATTTCCTCAAAAATGGAGCAGGCAAAAGATTAATAGGAGGAAGGCAAGAGGTTTTTGTGTGAAACTTTGGCATGAATTACAATGGAGGAAAAAAGGAAAATGTCTGATTAGAATGAAAAATCCCAAAAGGTGACAATCATTTATCACTTAGAAAAGGATTATCCTAGGATTCTGTTTTTCCTGATGTCTTATGGTTCCTGGCTTTCTTGTCCCATGGGATCCAGTAGACCTGTTACAGTGGTTTGTGTTTCAGATCCCCATACTGTCCTTGCACTTTACATGCACTATCACACAACATGTTCTATCTCCTGAGTAGTTTTCAAGCCATGCAAAACTGAATGTCGAACACCTTTAATAATCCAACCCATGTAACAGTCATTGCTCCCCACTTCAGTACCAGTTGCAAGCAGCCAGTGCTCACTTATATATAGAACTGGTTTAACTGACAATTTTGTGTCCATCAAGCAATCCATTACACTCTACTCTACTCTTTGTATAAATCAGCCTTGTTGCTGGTTTGTTGTTGACATTAATATTCACCACCAATGGAGCACTTGCTAAGGTTGGAAATCAGGGGAAATGGAGATATAAAGAGCAGTTACATGGATCTCCTCTTCCCTTCATTCCCTCCCAAAAAATCCAGCCTAGATGAAACATTTTATTTTGCTTAGAAAACTATAATATGCTTATTTTTAATTATTTGCTTAGCACAAATGCTAGTGGACACTTAAATAAAGTAAACCCCAAAATAAAGATTACAGTCTAAAAGAAAGATGCACAAAAGACAGAATGTGCTGGGAAATCCAGTGGTGGGAATAACTTAGTTTGGATTTAATTAAAGTGATAAACTTTCTCATTATGACTCTCACAGAGGTATGTATTTTTAGATTTATTGAGAGACAGAGTGGGTGAGGTAATATATTTTATTGGACCAACTTCTGTTGGCGAAAGACAAGCTTTCGAGCTTACACAGAGCTCTTCTTTAGGTCTGCAAAAGTTACTCAGTGTCACAGCTAAATACAAGGTGGAATAGATTGTTTTAGCATAAAGAGTTAACGTGTTGTAAGTGACCATTCAAGGTGAAGGTAACACATTTCATCACTTTGTCTCTGGGTGAATATACAAAACTGATTAAAACACTAAATGTATTATTGATCAGTGTGACTAGCAATGTAAATAAAATCCTGCCCCTTAGAGAAGACTGTGTACACAGCACTCTGCCCCTCAAGCAAAAGCCTGGACAAATAGGAAGAAACTGTGCCCTGAAGGTCGTCAAGCTTTTGTTCAACTATAAAAGAGTTATGGACCCAACTGATAAGGGTCTGAGGCCATGTCTATGGTGAAGACACTCTATGCCAGCATAAAATAACCACCTTCGCAAGCGGCAGAAGTTTCTCTCCCACCAACAGCGCTGGGCACACAAGTTGGTGTACTTATGTCGCTTGGGGGGTGGTTTATTCACCCCCTGGAGCGACATAAATTATGCTGACATAGGCTATAGTGTAGACAGCCTTATTCTGCATCTAACTACTTCAAAAGAATCAAATGGATGTCCCAGACCAGCAGGTGTCTTGTGACTTTGTATGCTGGAGGAAGGAAGGGTCAGTGACGCAGTCTGTGGCACAAGCCTTTTACTTCTGAAGACCTCATTAGATCATCCTATATAGTTTGAAACAATGGTAAAGCTGTGATTAAAATAAGACTCAGGACTGAAGTAGCAGTGATATGTTTTCAGCTTAATTCACAGCTGGTGGATCGGAGTGCACTTCCATTTTCTGTGTTTAGGATCATGATTAAATGGTTTTCATGAACAACGCACCAAAGCTGGTCATTCTAATCATGCATTTCCTAGGAAAACTAGACAAATCAAAGATGACTACTTTCAGATGGATTTAAGCATCTGTTGAACATCATCATAAAATAAATTGACATGAGTCAATCATTAAAGGAAAACATGTTTAAATGTCATTTGAAGGTTATCTTGTTAGCAGGCTGGTTAATCCTTATCAATGGTTTTGTTGTAAGGCAAGCTTCTAAAACCTTATCTGTTAGATATTATAATGTGTAATGCTTTAACTTGCTTCATTTCAATAACTCCATTGCCTTACTCTTCTTGCTTTGAAGTGCTAAGCTTCTTAAAGAATATTAAGGACTTCAATAAAATAAGATCAGTCATGTCTTTTATCCTATAAATGAGGAAAATAGTAAAATAAAATGGACTTACCACCTACAGGGAGGGCAGAGTATCTAGCTCTGAACAATATTGTGTATAACAAATAATTTAGATGGTTGGGTAAACTTGGGGGGTTTTGGTAGAAATTAGTTTGTTGTAGATAAGAGCTCTTGTTTATTGGGTGTTGTATTAATGGACAAATTCTGGAACTGCACTATTTCATCATAGAAACAGGTGCACATAATCCTGCAAATGTCGTCTTGACTGTTTTTGCCATCTGTATCTCCAAGCACAATTGCCAAGCCCTGCAAAGGAGATTTCAGTCCAGAATAGGAGTAATCCAATCTGCAGGTTTGGGGTGCTGCTTACATGCCATAGAAAGGTAAAGGGGTTTACACAGACAAATGTATAGACCACACCCACCTGGAAACCCCCTACAAGGCTTCTATTGTGAAAAGCCTCCAGAGTATTTCATGGGTTTTGTGGGGAAGCCAAAATCAGGACAGAACTTCCATTTTACATTTTCTTTTGGCCATTTGTTTTCTGGCCTTTGTGTATGGGCATCAGCCAGCAGAAATTTATTCATAGCTACTGGACCTGATTCTCATCTAATTTTAAACTGGTGTGGAGTTACTCGGTTCGTGTCCATGCTAGTGCGAGATCAGAATTGGGTCTGTTATGTCTAATATATATTACATGTTGCACTGTGAATGCCTGAGACAAACTATCAATATTGGGGATTGCTAAGGAAGTGTAGTGCCATACTCCTGCAGTCACTTTTCCAGGAAGTCCATTGCCGACCATAGTCCTGGTTAGTTTCACTCTGCATTAGCGGCTGTTGCTTTTTAAACTCTTAAATCAGTGTAGAAATGCAACAATGCTCTCTTGCAGCTGCTGTTCTGAACATATGGGGGGCAGTGTGTGTGGGGGGGAAGACAACCTTGAAAGCACACTAATGACAAATAATGTTAAGGTGACCATATTTTCAAAACTGAAAATCAGGAAAATTGTGATGACATTTTTTCAGGTTGTGAAAAAGACACAGAAAAGGACACTTAAAAAAAAGAGTTGATGTTGTTACTGCCAGCTTCTGACTCGGAGTGGAGAATTTTTTCCACTAGCTTATCATTATGAATTAATTATCATGAAACATTGAACAAGTGTAATTTAACATTCTCTCTGAGCAAAAGAACAAGTTTGACAGTGTCTACATCATTCAATTTTTCTTTTTGCTCCAAACACTAGTCATTACTCTGAACCCTCGTTCCACTGAATTGTTCCTGGTAAATAGAACAAATTCCACATTGTATAACAATATTTTATGAACAAATATGTTGTGACTATAAAAAAGCCAAATATTTTGATTGTAATGGGGAAAAAAACAAGACATTTCAGGTGTCATAAAAGAAGATTCTGAGACTCTAGGACCTTAAATGAAAAATTGGGACATATGATCACTTTAATTGGTGTTCACGTTAAAATACTTTTGTCAGACTTTACTGTAAAACACTGCTGGTTATTTTATTTTCCTGTTAAACCTTTTTAGTCCAGATACTAAATTAATCAAACGTAGAATTTATTAATAATACATGACTAAGCGTGCTTCATGCAGAATAAGTTCAAGGCAATCTCAGTGGTTTCCAAATATTCAAGTAGTGTAAGAATGGTGGGTTGGTGTCAGATGGCTAAAGAATGTTTTCAATTAATTAATTGTTGAACTTTATAAATCATAAAGACTTTATTTTTCTGGAGTCTTTAATTTAAAAGAGGCATTTGTATGAAATCCATGAATTTTTAATAGCTAATTTATACATATTTAAAATATCAGTGTGCTTTTTTCTCATGGAAGATGCAGTTAATTAGTAAAGCAAATAATAGAATGAAGGTAAATTTCTTGCTAAATGTTAAGTATAAACATATATTTATGATTAACCATAAACAAAGCAACAAAATAAGAGATAATCAAAACATTCTTATATAACTAAATATAGAGAACGAGCGCAACAAAATAGTTTTAATCCCTCCTTAAAATATCCTTGTTTCTTCTTTCCTCGTCTGATAGGGCCGGTGATGCTGAGAGTTTCTATTTGCCAAACACTCTGCATAGTCCAAGTAACAGTCTCCATTATCTTTATCTTCGCACAGAACCCATTCTGAGTAATATAATAATTTCTTCCAGCAATACAACAGTGTCATATAAATGTGGAATTTACTTGATTTTATAAATACTGTGCTTTGTATATTTTGAAAATAAGGGTAAATCCTTTAGCACATGAGCTTTGTAATAAAACCCCTGGCCTGTTTGTTTTTCTAACTAATCATTTATTTTTAACGCTTGTATTGTATACTCAAATATTGGTTAAAATTTGAATATACACTGTGTAGCATTATGCCTTAAATGATGTATGGAGTCAGATACTATGTGCACATAGAATCATAGAACTGGAACAGACCTTGAGAGGTCATCTAATCCAGTCCCCTGCACTCAAGGCTGGGCTAAGTATTATCTAGACCATTCCTGACAAGTGTTTGTCCAACCTGCTCTTAAAAAATCTCCTATGATGGAGATTCTACCATATCCCTAGGCAATTTATTCCAGTGTTTAACTACCATGACGGGAAGTTTTTCCTAATGTCCAACCTAAACCACCCTTGCTGCAATTTAAGCCCATTGCTTCTTGTCCTATCCTCAGAGGTTAAGAACAATTTTTCTCCCTCCTTCTTGTAACCTTTTATGTACTTGAAAACTCTTATGTCCCCTCTCAGTTTTCTCTTCTCCAGACTAAACAAACCCAATTTTTTCAATCTTTCCTCATAGGTGATGTTTTCTAGACCTTTAATCATTTTTGTTTCTCTTCTCTGGACTTTCTCCAATTTGTCCACATCCTTCCTGAAATGCGGCACCCAGAACTGAACACAATAGTCCAGTTGAGCTTAATCAGCACGGAGTAGAGCGGAAGAATTACTTCTCGTGTCTTGCTTACAGTATTCCTGCTAATACATCCCAGAATGTTTGGTTTTTTTGCAACAGCGTTACACTGTTGGCTCATATATTTAGCTTGTGGTCCACTATGACCCCCAGATCCCTTTCCGCAGTACTCCTTCCTAGGCAATCATTTCCCATTTTGTATGTGTACAACTGATTGTTCCTTCCTAAGTGGAGTATTTTGCATTTCTCCTTATTGAATTTCATCCTATTTACTTCAGATCATTTCTCCAGTTTGTCCAGATCATTTTGAATTTTAATCCTATCTTCCAAAGCACTTGCAACCCCTCCCAGCTTGGTATTGTCTGCAAACTTTATAAGTGTACACTCTATGCCATTATCTAAATCATTGATGAAGATATTGAACAGAACCAGACCCAGAACTGATCCCTGCGGGACCCCATTCATGATGTCCTTCCAGCATGACTGTGAACCACTGATAACTACTCTCTGGAAATGATTTTCCAACCAGTTGTGCACCCACCTTATAGTAGTCCATCTAGGTTGTACTTCCCTAGTTTGTTTATGAGAAGGTCATGCGAGACAGTATCAAAAGCCTTACTAAAGTCAAGATATACTACATCTACCACTTCCCCTCTATCCACAAAGCTTGTTACCCTGTCAAAGAAAACTATCGGGCTGGTTTGACACAATTTGTTCTTGACAAATCCATGCTTACTGTTATTTATCACGTTATTATCTTCTAGGTGTTTGCAAATTGATTGCTTAATTATTTGCTCCATTATCTTTCCGGGTACAGAAGTTAAGCTGACTGGTCTATAATTCCTCGGGTTGTCCTTATTTCCCTTTTATAGATGGGCACTATATTTTCCCTTTTCCAGTCTTCTGGAATGTCTCCCATCTTCCATGACTTTTCAAAGATGATTGCTAATGCCTCAGATATCTCCTCAGTCAGCTCCTTGAGTATTCTAGGATGCATTTCATCAGGCCCTGGTGATTTAAAGACATCTGACTTGTCTAAGTAATTTTTACTTGTTTTTTTCCCTATTTTAGACTCTGATCCTACCTCATTTTCACTGGCATTCACTATTTTAGATGTCCGATTGACGTGAAAGCCGAAACAAAGAAGTCATTAAGCACCTCTGCCATTTCCACATTTTCTGTTATTGTCTTTTCCCCCCTCATTGAGTAACCAAGGCCTACTCTGTCCTTGGTCTTCCTCTTGTTTCCAATGTATTTGTAGAATGTTTTCTTGTTTCCTTTTATGTCCATAGCTAGTGTGATCTTGTTTTGTGGCTTGGCTTTTCTAATTTTGTCCCTACGTACTTGTGTTATTTGTTTATATTCATCCTTTGTAGTTTGACCAAGTTTCCACTTTTTATAGGACTCTTTTTTGAATTTTAGATCATTGAAGATCTCCTGGTTTAGCCAGGGCGGGCTCTTGCCATACTTCCTATCTTTCCTATGCAGTGGGATAGTTTGCTCTTGTGCCCTTAATAATGTCTCTTTGAAAAACTGCCAACTGTCTGCAATTGTTTTTCCCCTTAGACTTGCTTCCCATGGGATTTTACCTTCCAACTCCCTGAGTTTGCTAAAGTCTGCCTCCTTGAAATCCATTGTCTCTATTGTGCTGTTCTCCCTTCTACCATTCCTTAGAATAGTGAATTCTACCATTTCATGATCACTTTCACCCCAGTTGCCTTCCATTTTCAAATTCTCAACCAGTTCTTCCCTATTTGTCAAAATCAAATCTAGAACAGCCTCCCCTCTAGTAGCTTTCTCCACATCCAGTCATTGCAGGGATAGTGTATATGTCTATGGACAATATTGTCCAAAGCTCCCTGTTTATTAAGTGACATTGTCAGTGTTGTGCACAAGCAGAAGCTTTTTTGAACTGAACACAAAAGCATCTGGAGCCCTCCTTTAAATCTCAACAAATGTCTTTGAATCCTAAGGTATGTATTGGGGAGGTTGGGTAGTATGGAGTGGACCCAATCCTGACAAATCAATTGGTGCTGTGGATGCTTAGTACCTCTGAAGATCAGGCCCAAGATGTCCAAGGCTCTGAACCCAAAAATGGAGGCCTTCAAAATTATCTTCTTTTGAGGGGGGGAAAAACAAAACCAAAAACCCCACAATGCTGCCATCTGTTGTTGCAATGGCATCTAAAATGGAGTACACATTTGTAGTCTAATATGGTTGAAAGTATTTTTTTATCCATTTATTACTGCCTCTTTTTAAAAAGGAAAATGTTCACTTTGAAATACACAGGTCCTAATTTTGTCCTTTGAATAGGAGTGCATGGCTGCCATTGACTTTAACTGAAGTTATACCCAGGCATCTGAGAGCAGAGTTTGGACCACGGGACATATTTTAAGTTTTTAAGAAAGAATATAACCACAGCAAGGCATCCATCTCTCTTTGTATCAAAGTCAGATACAAGAAAAATGTGCTTTACTAAATGCAAAGGTATTTCAGGTTACAATTAACACATTAGCGAAGTGAGTCGGGTGCAGAAAGCCTGTGTAAATTTCAATAAACCATAAATTATTGGCGCCCTGAGGCTTTTTAATGTGTTGCATGAGGAAATCAATTTACTGAGGAATGAATGCATGAAAAATTAATAGAGCACAAAAATATGCTCCAATGATGGAGCACGTTCTAAATCCATTACATAACAAAGCCTGGCTAGTACAAACTCATTATTTGATTCAGTGTTTCGCCCATTGTAGCTGTCGGTCACTTTTGTCTTGTTATGCGTTTCCCATCAAAGATCTCAGCTCTGATCGCCATGACCATATTCATTCATTATCAATATGGGCAGGAAACGCTGCTTCTCTGTTTGCCCTCAGTGTCTCTGCAACAACTGTGCTATAGGTATTGCTCAAAGAGAAACAGTTCCTGAACATTGAAGATGGGAGTTTTGCCTGAAATAGCAAGTTTGGACCCAGAGTGGGGCATTCCAGACACCAACCCCCTACAGCCCAGTTGCCTTTCTTCTCACTACCATGAGCGTCATTTTTGTGACACAGCACTAATTCTGTCAGTCTGTAGTCATGTCCAACTTCAGTCCTGTCAATCCTTCTCCTTACACATTGTAAACTGTGTGCAGCTTTTTTCCTAAATGTTTAGGGCTCAATTGTGACTAGCCTGTTCAGGTCAGGGATGTGAGAAGGAGCAAGGAGAAGCTAATCACAATGGCAGAGTACACAGTACAGGAACCATTTAAAGCAAGTGCCAACAGCGCTATTGGTCTCTGGGGGCTAGGAGAAGTGAGGGTGGGGCCTGAGTTCGACTGGTGTGGTGAGGGAACGCATACTGTACCCTTTCCAAAGATGTAACAATGGCCACTCAGACCCTGCCCCTCAGCCACACACACTAGCTCAGTTATCAATGGGAAAACTGTGCTTCATTTATCCTGGTCTCATGAAAACATGCTAGCAAAGTGATTTATTTAGCTCTGTCTTCTTGCAAAATTGATGATTTAAAAAAAAAAAGTTCATTTGTCAGGTTCACTTCACTCAGTCATCAAAATACATTCCTTCTATTCAGTCATCAGTTCCACATCATCCATCCACCCAAATTCATTCTATTCACCTATTCAGCAGTTTCACTTTACATAGTAAATTACTTTGCATACTGAACCCACGTCCCACATATAGCAGCATAACCTGCCATGGTCAGGACGTCATGTCCAAACACTGAGGATGAGGAGATATATGCTTCAGTCTATTCAGTAAGCAACTGATTACAAAATTCTGCTTGCGCCATTTTCCAGTGTACAACTGAATCACAGTTCTGAAAGTTTGCAGCAGTGTAACATTATGTGGATCATATGCCTGGTGCCAGATACATTTATTTTAATTAGCATTATGTGTATGATTTCTATCTGTTGGTTGCCTTTTCCTAAATAAGATAAGCTATTCAAAATGCCTGAGGAGCTTTCATTTTCCTCCACTGCCAAGGTTAGATTCTTTTCTTGAATTGTTTGAAGGTTAATTAAATACCTTTATCTGGAACTAAAGTTAACAGTGACCTACAAAAGAGTTTAATAAAAATGGGGCTTTTGTGCCTTCTGTGCTTTATTTGGATGTACAAAGAAATTCTTAAAGTGGAGTCTGGATTGGTTTGGGGTTTTTTCACTTTAGAAATTCTAGTGATGTCAATTATGGTCTTCCCTGGTTTTTCTAGAAGTTTGTTGGGGATCCATTTGACCTTGATTTAAGTGCCCAATATAGACCCATCTGATCCTACAGAAATATTAAAAATAAAATTTGTGCTATAAAAATGAGTTTCTCCAGTAATATTATAGAATATAGTAATTCGTTATATAATTTTAAATCTGTCATGTTCATTAGTCATATTATGAGTGACTTTTGTAGCTTTATTATTTACATATGTATTAATTATTCATGAGGCTTTACAGCTCCATAAGAAAACATACACCTGGAGGAATGTATATTCAGTTTATTTTCTAAGGGCCAAATCTTGGTCCTTTTTGAAGCTAATGGAAGTTTTGTAGTTGACTTCAATGAGACCAGGATTTTGCCCCATGTGCA